AAGTACAACCAGAAGTTGCTGGATGGACATGGGATCATGGTGGAATGGCTTAATTGGATGGTCTTGATTGTTATGTCATCACGCTATGATGGATAATTCTTCACTTAAATTTATGGTGAAGGAAGACAGGTTCCTCATTTTCRGAGGCCAGCTTACCCTAAAGTGTGATAGAAAGAGATGGTTACATCTTTCCCCTGGATTCTTGATCCCAATTCTTTTGTATATTATCCTCATCTTCCTTCAGAAAGAGCATACACTGGCTTTACTGATGAAGGTACCAGTTTTCTTAATGTAATCACAATTTAGTCCTGCTTTCTTGAATTATCCCCAGGTTACCTTGATTTGATTTTAGCTATCCTGAGGCATTGCCTTATGTTTGATCTTAGAAAAGTCACTTCACTTTAGATTCTTCTCATTTACTTTTCAAAGAATAAGCTTAACTTTAATGTGATGCTTATGAGATTTTGACCCAATTAGCTGTATCTTAAAAATTGCTTTCTGGGGTAGGGATATAGCTCCATAATAAGGTGCTTGCCTGGCATGTGCAAGACCCAGGGTGCAATTCCCAGTACTGTTTAAAAAAAAAAWAGGAAAAGAAAGAAAAAAATAGGAAAACAAAGAAAAAAAAATGCTTTGATTTCTCAAAATTAAATAATTAAAGAGATGATATAATAATAGTAGAGGGACTGACTATAAAAAGCATGGACTCTGGACCTAGTGTAGTACTAAATGATTTATAATAATTTATCTTTTATGGTTTTTATTGGTATATTTATAATTATGATAGTGGAATTCATTCATCCATATATGCAAATAATCTAATTTGATTAATATCATTCCCTACCTCTCCTCTTCCCACTCCATAACCCACTTTTTCTATTTTACTATYCTCTTCTATTTTTTAAATTAGTGCATTATAATTATAGATAAAAGTGGGATTCTTTGTGGTATATTTGTACATGCACATAGCATATGGGTCAATTCTATTTCCAAGTTCTTCCCTTTTTCTCCTTTTCTAACTCCCTCTCAATTCCTTTCCTCTATTCTACTGGTTTCCTTATATTTTCATTTATCTTTATTTAATTCTCTCATGAACATATTGTAATCCATATACAATCCCCACAAACAGGTGAGGAAGCTGAGGAGCACATAAGATTAGTAATTTATTCCATATTTACACCATTGGTGGCAAAGCTAGACTGAAATTCAATTGATAATTCCAAAGCTGGTACTTTCAACTCTTTATTCAGTATTACTACCTGGCATTACTCTCTAGCAGAAAAGAAAAGGGCATCCAGCCCAAAAGAAGAACAACACTACTAGGACTCTTTGTGTTAATGGTGATAATGAATGTAGGTTCAGCTCCTACTTGATTCCAGGTACTTTACATAGATTTTTAGGAATCCTTATTGCATTCTTGTAATGAAGATAAAAGGCTTTTAATTTTGCACACAAGGTAATTAAACTCAAAGAATCAAATGTGTTTTAATAAGTCTTAGAGCATTTAATTGCATTCTCTGACTCTTAACACCAAAGCTTGAAGGCATTGATTGAAAGTTGGAACTCTGGATGGGTGATACTCTGGAGAGTTTCCCTGCATAACTCAAGCCTAGAGTATGGGGCCAGTTAAAGGAGTCTGGGGGACCACGGAGATTAAAGGGACAAAGAGGAGGAATTTCTGAAGTTTGTAAAGGATGCGTATGAGTAGGTCCTTAAATAGATCAGATGGAAGATTGGAAACTTGAGAAAAAAACAGACATATTTGAATGTGGGCAAACAAGAACAAAAAAATTCAGTCTCTTTTCTAATAGTCTGATAGTAAATGACAAAAAAAAAATGTCAAGGAGGTAATACTGGATATTTAGAGAAGCATAGATCACTCACAGATTTTGCTTTTCAAACAGGTAGCTTAGATGGGATAGCTGTTCCCAGCTGTTACACTACCTTAAATATCTAAAACTTAAAAAACTTCATGATGTGATGTTTTTAAGTTCAAAGTCTTGGAGAGGTGGTCCATTATGTCATCTGTAGCCTACTGGTAAATGTGCTCATACTAGTGGGGATGAAATGGGTAACCTTTTGTTTGCTAGATTATTTTTGTCCTTATAATTCTACTCTAAGTAGGTATATAGTTGGCAACAACAAAGCCAGCATAGTCTCTGTTCTTTCTGACTTTCCCTTGGACACTATTTTACATCCCAATAAATCAGTAGTCTTTTTAGCATCTGGTCCCTGGCGATCAAAGTATTCAATTACAGGACCTGATACAATCATGAATATCCTGGTAGTTACTTTAAGTACATCCTCTTCCCTTCAACAGTGAACCTTTTTAAAAATTGGATTCATTGGGAGCCTTTATTCCTCAGTGTATAGATGGGTATATTTGAACAAAGGCAAAAAGCAATGAACTTGGATCCTAAAAGAAAACCTATCATCTTCCCTTCCTTTCTATTCTTTTTGCCTAGTTTTAATGGATTTCAAGTATAACAATGTGCCTSTTGGGAGTGACAGTTACATTTGATTAAACTAATCACATGGAGAAGAGCTGGTGTAGGTTTTAGGGGTACAGGGATTGATGTTATAGGCAAGCTCTTACAAAGCAATTGTGTAGTCTAATCAATAGAATCATAGACCGTAGATTTTGCAGACTTAGAAAGTAATTTGGAATAACACTCTACAYAGTACAAGAATTCCCTTTTTCTCTTTTCCCAACACTTGGGCATGAAACTTCTGCTTCAGATCTTCCAGCAAGTTTACTACACTGCAAGCTCTGAGAATCTTGGAGAGCAGGCAGGGAGTGCTGGGGTTTCATTTTCCATTCTACCACAGTATGTGACACTGTGACTCCGCTGCCTTGCTCTCGTAGAGTGGCTCTAACAATGGGAAGTGCCATTTGTCATCATTATCCAAGCTTTGTTTGTGGTCCTTGGAGTAAAATCACATTGAAAATTAATATTTATTTTTGTCTCTTCTTCTGTGGCTTTGGGCAATTTCCTACCCTCTCTGGTTTCAATTTTTGCATGCAAAACAAGAAAACAATACCTGACCAGGGAGTTTATGAATGAATTCTGAGATCTACGTATAGAGTTGTCTTGAAGAATTAATGTCTATAAAGACTGACACAGAGTAGGCACTATACATGACCTGCTTCCATCACACCTTATTCTAATCTTTTGCTAAGCTGGTGGGGTTTGATTCTGAGTTCAGAATCCCAGTAGTTATCTGTCCAGCACAGAGTAATATAGAACGATTGTTTTTATGTGTACAAAGCATTACATGTGTTCTTTTTTAAGTGGGATAAGGTGTGATGTGGACAGTTGGGGAGGTCTCTTTGAAACTGCACTAGTCGTGGAATACTGGCGTTCCTAAAGCCCTGGCAGTACAGTGGTTCTGAAGAGCAAGATCATTAGGTTGCTGGTGGCATGGAGAAAGAAGGGAAATACAGGCTTATGTCAGAATTTGTTAACATCAATTAAGACTTCTAACCCAAAACAACTGGCAGAAAAGCAAAAACTTCAGTTACAACTTCAGTTTCACTGTTGTGTGGTCTACATGAAAACAATCAGGCCCAGTGATTTCATTAGTCTCCCTGTTTTTTTTTTCCCCCAACCTTGTTTAGAACCCATCTAAATAATTAATTTTTTTGAAAGTGACTATCTGATACATCTATTTATAATGCTTATTTGAAAACTACTCATTATGCTTTTGTAAAATACTAGGAGTGGAATGAATCTGTCTTCTACTTGGTATTTCTTAGAGCTCGGCCATGTTGGAAGAAGGAAGAGCTACATTTCTCTGTCATCTTCTCAGCTTTCAGAATATGTTCACTTTGTGAGCAAAGCCTCCCTGATTATTTTCTTGTTGAAGTTTTCAATTCAGGAAGCATACCAGGAATTTTTAGGTTGCCTTTAAAAATTACTGTCCCCTTTCTGAAAAACCTATTAATGGGGAACGAGTAACTTCCACAAAGTAGGGTAGGCAAGTTCCAAAGCTGGCCTTTGATCAGAAGTTTCCAGGAAAAACAAATAATCGTAGCTCCTCCTTTGAAAACTAGGGAGGAAAAAGGTAGATGTTCTGAGATGGTCTGGCTCATTTGGTGGAGTACAATAATTCAATTAATCTATCAGGGGAGAGGATTACTTTGGAGACTCTATAGCATAAATTTCCTGCTTTACCAAAAGGAACTTTATCAAAGATCATTTGTATATAATTAATCCATAAACTGTCTCCTCTCCTTCATTCTATTTTGAGGTGGAAAACTTCATTTGTTCTTCGTAGTGTGTTGTTTCTGGGACTAAGTATATATAAAATTTTGATGAAYTGGCAGTTTTATCTGACTTGGTGATAGTTCTCAATTTAATGGATTACTGTCTTTGATTCCTGCTACATAATGTGATAAAGCATGTGTGTGCACCTCTGTGGTATGTATGTACATACCTGAAGTGTCTTGAAATCTTGCTGGTGTTTAGACAGCAAATTATTTCCCCCTGCTTCAATTCATTTTGTTTTATCTTTTKGACTGGCCAAATAATAAAGATTTTTCTATAAAYGCCAGGGAATATTCCCTATCACATTTGAAAGGTATTATTTATTAATATTATTTAGTAAATATATAAGAGAACAATGAGTTTACTTGTAAAGTGTTGCTTTTAAAAGGTAACTTGTAATAATAGGTTGCTTTCTTTTAAAAATTTTTAATTGTAGATGGACACAATACCTTTATTTTATTTACTTATTTTTATGAAATTCTGAGGAGCAAACCTAGTACCTCATGCATGCTAGGCAAGCACTGTTCCACTGAACTACAATATCAGCCCCGTAGATTGCTTTCTTAGGGGAAAAGACATGATTTTTTTTTTTTAGAAGAGATTCTATCAAGAATATTAACCTGATTTATATTCCAGTGGGAAAAGGTGAATTTCTTGCCATTATTTGAATGTTGTACCACGCCTTTACAAACAACTATTAATTGGATATATGATGTATGTTTATTTTTGTAGTTAAAACAGAGCCAATGAGCAGCAGCGAAATAGCTTCAACAACAGCAGACGGGTCTTTAGACAATTTCTCAGGTTCAGGTAAGGAACATATATTAGATTTTCACACTAATATTCAATATTATTCTAATGTATTTATATAGATGCCCGTGTACATACATATAAATATACATATAAATTATAGCTTTGCTCAGAATCACATATGACCAAATTTGGATATTTTTATTCAGTGTGATGAACTGTTTCTCCATTTAGATCTTGTTTGTATCCTTTCTCCCATCATGTGAATTTGGGCTGGCAGAATCTGACCTTTACTTCTTGAATAGACTTGCCCAACATCCTTTTAAATAATTATCATGTAAATAATATAGCTAAGTTAAATAGACTCTGTGAAACAGTATTAAATTCTTAAGTCATATTTTATCTCTTTCCCATTAATAGAATCTGTCTCTGCTAAAGGAAATGGCCAAGTTTTATATCTGTCATGACAAGATTACTGACAAGAAGGTAGTGTAGTGATGAAATAACTGTGAGATACTATTTGCCAAGTTATCCAGCTTACACTATTTAATTTAAAAGTTCTTTATATCAAAGATATTTTTAAAATTTTCAACCCTTCTCATAATATCTGCTATATTTATAAGACCTCTCAGTCAGAAATGCTGTACTTTCATGAATTTGTGACTGATTTAATCTAGCTCTCAGGGTTACATATTTAATATACATCACAACTAAAGGGGATTATATAGAGAGATAAAATTAAATGCAAATGTACACTTCATCAATACTAATGATACCAGGTAAGAAACAATAAAGAAATAAGAAAGCATAATATTATATYCATTTGTTCTTTTGGAAAACATTTTTTGGATTTTGACTGAARCCAGACAGTGTGCTCAGACCTACTATGAATGCATAGATGTATGGAAATGGTCTTAGTTCAGGGCATGATGGAGTGAACAAATGACCAAACCTTCATAGAGCTGTTTGGTAATGTCAGAGGGAATACTGGGAAGCCCTAAGAACAGGAAGAGACCCAGTGGAGACCAGGCTGGGATGGGCTGGTCAGGGAAGGTGTCCAGAATAGGTGGCTTCACTCTATTAAAAAAAAAAAAAAAGAGTGGGAAGAAAGCACATGTAGAACTAGAGATGGGGATGTTGGACAGATGGGCCCCTCTATTGGCAGGGACCACAGTACATAGTGCGTGCAGCTTGGGAAAACTAATGGTTCAGCATTCTTAGTTTGTATATGAACAGCAAGGATGTGCTGCAGAGGGAGGCCAGAGTCTGAAGAGGCTTGTATGCCCTCCACAGAGTTTGTTTCATCCTAAGTGCAATGGGAAGCATCACAGGAAGAGATTTCATGTTTATATTCATAATCCAGAGCCATGATTGTTGGGCAGGATGGTTTTGGGATGCTTAACTGGAGAGGCCAATTAGAGGATTTTTTATATTAACTTGGGCAAGAAATATTGAAGACAACATAAATGTTGTCCCTAAGTATGGGAAGGAGGGATTTAGTGTATTTATGAAGTGAGATTCATAGTCATTAGTGATGAACGGACATGGGAGGTGAGTGTGGCTGAGAGAAAGGAGCTAGGAAATAGGAGAAAAATTGACAAAGAAAAATGGTGACCTCAGTTTTGGGCATGTTGAATATGAGATATCATCTACCTGAAGATGTCAAGTGGGATTGGAGCCCAGGAAAGATTTGAAAAGGGAATTTTGAAACGATACTGGAGATTAAAGTTAGCAGGCAATAATAGGGTTCAGAAAGAACCCAGGGAAAACACACATACACACTCATATATGAAATAGTTGGGTAGAGGATCAAATGGAAACAGGAGTGATTGGGGAAGAAGAGAAAGCATTGAATAGAAGTGAAGGAAGGGAAGAATGTCAAGGAAGCACTGTCTACATGACAGATTCATATGCAGCTTTTTTAAATGACGTGAGAAAAGGTTAACTCTAAAGTAAAAAGCAGGTTACATGAGAATAACATGTATAGACTTATCAGTTAAGTTTCAAAAGAAAGGCATTTATGTGTATAGATGTGTGCCTCTGTGTATGGGTACAAAAATTAACAGTGACACTCTCTGGGTGGAAGAATAAAATTTGAATTTCATTCTTTATGATTTTGGGTATTTTTTCCCTAAATATCTTTTTTATTACAATGCAGTGTGTGACATTTGTATTTTTCAAAAGTAACAATTTTTAAGTATAAGTTAAACATATGCTACAAAGAGATAATTGCTTTTTGAAGGTATATGCAGATAATAGTATTGCAACACTGTTTCTCCCGATTTTGATAATGTGCTATGGTAAAGGGATGCCTTGTTTAAAGAAATAAAAACTGAAATATTTATGAGGACAGGAAAATCATTTGGGTAACTCTCATATGTGTTGACATAGGTAGGGAGACATTGGTTGTTCATATGCTCCCAAGGCTCTGCAGGAAATGCCATTTGAAGTTCACTAATGGTGATGTGACTGTATTATTTACTTTGATAGATGATCTGGAGACATTCCCTTTGCTGTAGGTTATTCTAGTCCCAGGAAATTAAAATTAATCTGGATTTCTGGATTATTATTTAAAATATCAAAAGAGTTTTAGGCCACACACACACACCAACACACCAACACACACACACACACACACACACACACACATTTATATATTTATTTATTTATTCATTTCTGGGAAACTCCCCCCAAATGTGAGATTTACATGTGTATATATTCACATAAACACAGTGTATTGAGTATAAAGATTATATAATATAATGGTAGAGAATTTGGGTGAAGGCTATCTGGGAAGTTTTCATATTATTCTTGTGACTTCTCTACAAGACTCAAATTAGGACAAAGTCAAAACAAATTAAAAGCACCAGTGGATGTAGCCTGTGGCAGTTTTTGTGGAGTGGGGGGGGCTTTACTTTTTCTTTCCCCAACTGGATCACACATCCAGTTTTACACATCCCATTTCTGCATGCCCAACCGAGTGTTCCTAGTGTGTAGCAGGTGGTCATCAAGGTGGCTGAGTGGGTGGGTGACTGGGAGAACAAGGTGAGGAAGAAAAAGAGATCTTTCAAGCACATGGTGGTGAAAGGAGGGGAAGAAAAGTCAGTTTTGGTAAAGAAAGGGATGACATTAAGAAGGTCAGGGAGGCTTTATGCTACAGACACAGAATTTATAGGTAATCAATGAAGGAAAGTCCCGGATGGGACAGCAATAGCTTCAACCCAAAACAGAGGTGGGTCAGCTTAGGAAAGGAAGACTCCTCCACTGTGGAAGATGAAGTGGAAGGTAATGCAGAAGAATTTGAAGTGGAAGAGGGGCAATGTGCTGAGAGAACTCCTGTCTGATTCCTCTAAAAGTCTACTGTCTGTAGTTAGTTCTCCAAACTTCCCTTCCTTATCCTTCATACTACTTTTCAAATTATGTTTTAGTATCTGCCTTCCTGCTAAACTATAGCCTTATGAGAATAAAGATTCTGTATGGGTCTTTTCCAACCTGATCATAGAAAACGCTCAGTAAATGTCTGCTAAGCGGATGAATGAATTGGCCAATGTGCTTATGGCTTGAGACCATGGAATGGAGAAAAAAAGGGTCTGGATGATCTATGAACTTAATTATTGAAGTAGGAGGCTGGACAGAAGACCTAGAAAGACTGAGAAAAGTGTTGAATGTACCACCCAGGGTAACGTTGGGGCTCATCTGGAGATGCAGCCAAATACTAAAGGTCTAGGAGGTGGATCATTCATGCAAGTGGGAAAGAGCTCTCAGGAACCTCAGAGAGAGAGTGTTTCTGCAGGAGAGCAGGAAACCAATGCTTTGAAGAAGCAGTGAAGATACGTTTTCCAGGGTCTTTATGATACCTAGAATCTGGGATAAAGTACACCTTCTACTTGGAAAAGATATGCAGGAGAATCAAGGGCTTAGGAAACCAGCCTAGAGGGAGGTGGAGGGATAGTTTGGGCAAAATCTAGAAAGGGTCTTGCTTTCCACAGATGGATTAGCTGTGTCCAACACGGTGTTAAGAATCAGGTAGGGAGTTGGGTCAAGGCATAGGAAGCACAGAGATCATGGAGGTGTCTATTCTTGTACAGTCTTTCACATTTTTTCTCCCTGCTTGCCTCCTTCCTTCCTTTTCTCCTAATGAGAAAAAAAATACAAAAATCAAGGAATGTTAGGATGGCTGTGAATAGGGCTTTGGATTTATAAAAGAAAGAAATCTCTAAACCTCTAACGCCAAAATGATCTTTACCTCTGCGGTAACCATTCCTACTTTCTTGTCCATGATGGCTTAAAAATTTGTGTGCACCCAAAAATGCCCATCCCAACTGCTCTTGTATCTTTAGAAATAAGACATAAAAAGAAGAAATGGAGCCACTCTGATATTGGGAATAGTAACCCCGCCTCTGGCTGTTAAGGAATTATATTATTTCCAAAGCACTAAGGAGGCCTCAAAGGTTCCTGAGTCCCTCGGGTATCCTGGTGTGGGGAGACTGGTTGGTTTTCTAGGCATGTGGCTGACTTAAAAATTATAAGGTGGTTTATCATGTTTTTAAAGCATAATGATGTTTTGCTCATTCTTTGCCAACAGAAAGCAATATAGGGATGATTTAAATTTTAAGAATCACAAGGATTGAAAATAATGCACATACTCTAATATCTTTGCATGTCACTTTTGCCATTTTCCCAAAGTCTAAATGTGTCATTAAGTGGACAGGATGCTAGTCAATGATATTGATTACACAAAGTTGATGTCCAATGATATTAGAAAAAGGAAAACAGAAACAAGAATACTTCTGGAAGAGGAAAAAAATATGAATGATATATACAGTTGTAAGATTTTTAATAGGTCATAAAAAGACACAACTCTGTGGGTCCTAATCATTAAGTCAGCAGTTCTTTGTCAAATACCTGCTATATGTGGGAATATAGCAGTGAGATGGTGGACAGGTCCCAGCCTTCATGGAGCTCGTATTTCTACGGAAGAGCCAGATAATATGTAGATGAGTGGTGAATCTTCCCTGCCTAACTCAGCCTGTGAAAAGTGCTATGAAGAAAATGAAAAGTCATCAAAGAATATAGTGGAAGGGTGGGTGGAGAACTCTTAGAGAGGAGATCTCCAAGGAGGAGGTATCAGAACAGAGATTTTGGTGAAGTGAGGGAGGYCGTAGGGAGTTGAAGGTAAGGAGGGTTGTAACAGATCTGATTCATGTTGTGAAGGAGATCACTGTTTGTTACATGGAAAAGGCATTGTGGGGTGAAGGATGGAAAAGGCCAGGTGGAAATAGGGAGACGGATATTTCCCTAGCCTGAAAAATGATGTCTGTGTTAGCTCATGTTAGCTGTATTAGCTCCTAGAAGAGCTGCTAGAGGTAGGATTAAATGTTCCAGGATTTTGTTCGGGGAAAGAAGTAGAGGAGAAAGGGAAGAAAGGCAGGTTAGGTTAATTGGCAGTCTCATGACATATGAGCAAGGCCATCAGCAGAGTAGCAGGTCTTCCAGGAACAGGCCTCCCTTCCTATCCCCAGCATTGTTATTGGCCAGGAGAAGCCCTTCCCTATGTGGCCTCAATGAATTTATATGGATGGATTTCAGAGCTCAGTGGCTGGGCGTTTGGTCAGTTATACACCCTACAGCAGGAGACATGAGAGGTGCATTTTCTGGTTGCCACAGTGTTTGCCACAGTGTTGGAGATTGGAATGGGTGGTAGATGAATCAAAGTGAGAAGTTGTCAGATTCAGGGTATTTTTTGGAGAGAGAGCCAACAGGACTTAATGATGAAGGAGTATATGAATGTGAGGGAAAGAGAAGGATCAAGACCTACTTCCAGACTTTTTTTTTTTTTTTTTTTTTTTGGTACTGGGTATTAAACTTGGGGCACTCAACTACTGAGCCACATCCCCAGCCCTATTTTGTATTTTATTTAGAGACAGGTCTCACTGAGGTGCTTAGTGCCTTTCTGTAGCTGAGGCTGGCTTTGAACTCTCTATATAAAACAGGAATAAGGAAGGCTGTTTGTAAGCGTTTTGCTGAACAGACGGTGATGTTGTTCTTTAGACTTAAAAAATAGAAGGAAGGGCAAATTTGGGGCAAAGGTAGTAGGGATCTGAGAAAATTAGCATTTATAAGCACAAATCCTGTATGAACAATTTTATGTCAATTATCTTATTTAGTCTTCATAACAATCCTAGCAGGTATAGGWGGCATTATAGCCATTATTTTTTCTGAGGGCATACTGAGGCTTAGAGGGAATAACCTTAGACCTTATATGAGTTAGGCTTTGAATCTGGGCTGAAATTAAATTCTGATTGCAGAACATCTTCTTAATTACAATAATCTGCAGCCTCTCAAATCTCTCTTCTCATTTATACACATATACTATCCATATGCTATAAATCCAAGCTTCATAGAATTTCTGTTACTCTATTAATATACTCGATTATCTTCTATCATTTGTTTTTTAATTGTTGGGTGCATCCTATTGAGTTTGTGAACATTTCTTAAATCATGGCCCATAATTTGAAAGACATAGGTATAGAGCTAGAAGAGAATCAAAGGTTTTTCTTGGCTTCCASCATGGTGTGGCATTGCATTAATTTATTTTTGAGCAATTGTTTTAACTATGATTGTCCAGGGAAGATATTACTCCTCCAACAACCCGCTGGATAAATCCACTTTGCCCTTGGCTCCTTTTCAGGCTTAGAAAGGAGGAATAAAAGGAGCTGCAGTCAGRTACCTGGGCAAGTGGTAGTCCTTGTAGTCCAAGTGTTTCCTCACTAATCCCTCCCTTTTATAAACAGCAGTATTTCATTAATCCTCCCACAGCTACTTGTGTGTCAGCCTTCCCACAGAGCAAGGAGAGGACTTGTCTTTGCATGTTTGCTCTGCAGCATCTTGTATAGTGCCTGGAACTGAGTCTTGACTCAGTGTGTGCCAGAAGACCAATGTTGGGGGAAGATGCTGGCTGGACTGTCCTTCCATCTCTGCAATATAGACTCGCTCTGTCTCTGCCAAATTGACAGCCAAATGGTAGAGGTCTGGAAGCTGGCAAGAGTAGGACTGATCTAGATCTGTCCTATTGTCCCTGGGTTAGGCCTTGTTTGTTTTGCTTGGGAGGGATTATTTATAGATATTGAGATTCTAGTCCAACTCTACTACTGTCCCCTTAAACACAAGCTAGAAAATTAAATGTGAGAGCCATAAATGCACTGATGTGACAACATGAAAAATGCATAAAACTTTAACTACATGGAATTTTATGGAGGAGTTTCATTGTAGAATACAGTTAATAAATAATAAGCAACTCTGAAGACAGTGACTATTAGTGGAAGAAGGAAATAATCATGTTTGTATTATAATAATTGCACCCAAAGAATATCTGTGTTAGCCAGGTAAACACTAGGTAGTTTAGGGGGAGAAAGTATGTATACATACATAAATGTAAATATGTGTGCATGATTTCATATGGATACACATATATACAACTGTAAATATATCTGTAGATTGTTCTTGCTTGCAACAGAAAGGGCTGAGAATTTCTATTTTATGGGCTTGTGTTAGTTAAAATGGATTTTGCTTCTTTAATTCAGAATGGGTATGAAAACATTTAAAGGTTCAGTGCACTTTGGAAATACATTGATTCAAGTAAATCTGATTAAAAGAAATTAGGTTCTGCTTGAATGCTTAAATACCTCTTTAAGGAAAGAAAAAGAAGAAAAGTTTTTTGCTTGAACATTCAAGTTGAACACATATATCTAGAAGGCAAAAAAAAAAAAAAAAAAAAAAAAAAAACCCGGATCAGCACAAGAAAATACAGGCTTAGCCTGCAACTTGAGAAATTTAAAATAGTTATAGGAATGCATTTTTGCTAAAAAACATTGCTAAACCAATGCAGGCAAATGAAGATCTATCCTATTTCTACTCACCTGAGAGAAGATTATACCATATTTCTTTGTAATACAGGCTCAGGTTTGTATGTTCCCATTGAACACAGACAATAGACCTTTTGCTTTCCTGCCCAACCCCRCAATTCAGCTTGGTACCTCCCCTTCCAGTGTGTTCTTCCAAAGAGCAGCCAGGACTCCCTGTACCATTAAAGTATTGACCCTGTGAGAACCATCACAGCATACTGATGGGTATTTGAGACTGTGACTATGTTTTCTAAGAGTTCAATTAAAATGAATCACTTAACATCAGTTCTTATCGTGACCTTTTTATACTTTAACTTTCTGTTAGACATAACCAMGTGAAATTGCCATTTCTGCAGGAAACAAAGGTCCACTATCTGCCATTTCATGTTGTAAAGCCATAATTCAAAATATATCGATGTTTTCTGTGTATTTTCTATTTTCTCTTGGATTATTTTGCATTTTTTCCCCCTCTCAGCAATCGGGAGCAGCAGCTTCAGCCCAAGACCAACGCACCAGTTCTCTCCACCACAGATCTATCCTTCCAAGTAAGATGTATTTTCTCTTAATCAATAAATAACTTTTCTGAGAAGACTTTTTTTTTAATCTCATTTCAAGTCATATCTGTGCCCATGTTACCTCTTAATTGAAATKAAAAGTGTGTTTCATGGAAGCTTAAATATATTTATGCAAGTTTATTTTGGAGCATCACCGAAGTATTTCAGTGCTGAGGCTATTGTATTTGAAATGGTTCTTTAAGATACATGCTTTAACTGGAATTTGTGATGTGGTTGTTAATTGGTTACCTTGCATGTTTCCATCTAATGCATGGGCTTTCTATTTTCTGTCATTTCTGACAAATAGCAGACCATACCCACATATTCTCCCTACCCCTTCCTCACAAACTATGGCTGCATATGGGCAAACACAGTTTACCACAGGAATGCAGCAAGCTACAGCCTACRCCACGTACCCACAGCCAGGACAGCCCTACGGGATTTCCTCCTATGGTGAGTAGTCCTGCCATTGTTGTCATGGCGGTTACCAGTGGACATTCTTGTGTTTTTGAGAGGTACTTAAAGATTGTCAATCATGGGCCRCTTTAGAAAGTGTCATCCCTTTTGGTGTCTCAATTCTTAATACAGTGGTTTCTAGTGAGCATGGTAAGAACTAGTGACTTCTTATCTGGAGGTCAGAGGTGGTTGAACAGATTGTGGGGCTCCATATGCCCTCTTGCTTGCCTTTTCCTGCACTGATATCTCAGCTCTGAATTTGCCACCTGAGCACTTGGCTCTGGAATCCAAAGTATTTTTTGTGCATATTTGTGATAAAACTTCTGAGAATGAAGTCTTTGGGGGTAAAGATCCATTTCCTATTTATCAGATGTCCACCCACCATTAGGGAAGTACACAAGGAATTTAACAAACCCTTGCTCTAAACATGGGGGGTGGTTGTGTTATCAAATTCCAGCATTATCAACCCTTATGAAAAGGGATCTATGTATCACCTCCTGGACTGCACTTTGAAGAGGCAAATCAGGAAGCACTTAAAATTCACGTGGTCATTTGTTCCTTCCCACCTGGAGATGATCTTTATCTTGGTGTAATTTAACTCAATTGTTACAGGGTCAACACCTGTAAATTAAAAATAAATCCAGCCAAATCCCAAAGTTCAACTTAAAAAAGCCTTCAAATTTTAAAATACCTTTTCTTCCATTGGGTTGCAACTGCAATTTTAGACAAATTGAATACAAATATATGAATTTTTGCATTTTAGTGAGAAAAAAATAAACTGGTGATCCAGAAAAAGTACATGGATGTTAGGGAGAGGACTAGAAGAATAATTAATTTTGTTCTTGTTAAATTTTATATGTACACACACAAAAAAAAATATATCAAACATAGATATATTCAATTGATATATAATATATATAATCTCCATCCATTATTCTGATTACAATTCTTCTGGTATGTTGTTTTGTAATACTTTTTTTTCCCTGCAGTATACTGAAAGAATCAATGCTCTTTTAAAGCATTTTATTTATAATTAGGAAGCAATTTACTTTATTCCTTTYAATTCTCTTTACCTTAAATTGACCATATATAAATTTCTTATAAAATATAGACAAATAAAAGTCTAAATAATGTGTAACTTCAGCTTTTTGTAGTTTTATTTCAAAACTATCAGAGATAAATGTCATTCAGTTTGGTGTTTTAAAAACAGACTCCTGAAGCAGCCTTAAGGTAGACTTTCTAAAATTATCTTTCATTTTCATAACTTTTTATTTAAAGTTTCTCATAATAACATTAAATATAGATCACATTTATCTATAATTTTCTTTTAAATTGTTGTGGGATAAAAGGGGAAAAAAGGTCTGTGATTTGAATTGTACAGCTTTTATTCTGTGATAAGAGTCAAGGCAATCTCCAGTTGATATGTCCAACCTTTATAAGGTGATTATTTGAAGTGCTAGTGTACTTTCAGCACCCACATTAATAAAGTACTGTCTGCCGACCAGTGTTGCCCTGGGAAGTCTTCCTGTCATTGCTTTGGCTGCCAGCCTCCAACTACCTCTCTCCTTTCTCCTCCCCATGCAGCTGGGCTAGGGGCTGGACATCCTTCTTTGTCAATTTCCAGGCTGTGGGGTGGGATCTACTTAAGTTCTAAACCATTAATGAATGGTCTTTGTGGTCTGAGAGTTATTTCAGGAGAGTGAAAGGAGCCCAGGGTGAGATGAGAATAGAATCAGAACTAGCAGAGTGAGGATGGGGATTCTAATGAGAGTGCAGATGGGAGAAGATGAGAGGAAGGCTCAGTGTTAAGAGCTTTGGTGGCAGAGATTTGCATGGTTTATCAATCTCCTAGGCATAGTTCTCAGTCCTACCCTTTCCCCACCCCCACCCCCTTTTTTTATTCATTTTGGGCCTTGAATGCAAGGAGGCTGATCTGAATTTTGTGATCCACAGATTCTCTTTGTCTTGGGCTGGTGCATTGAACAATATGGCAGGCAGCCTTCTCCCACTTGGCTTATTCATGAAGAACAACACATAGTTCAGGGTTTTCTCTGCTACCTCTCAAGGTCCAGATAATATATATATATATTCAATCCCCAGTACCAAATATATATATTTGAACCCAGGGCCTTATGCATGCTATATAAGCTCTCTACCAAATGAGCTATACCCCCTACCAAATGAGCTATACCCCCAGCCCTAGGTCCAGATAATCTTACAATTTTGACTTTCTCTGAGGATCTGTATCCCTAAATTTATTAGATAAACATGTTAAAAAAGAACCCACAAAAGACAGGCAAATCTTTTCATAGTGAAAATAATCGATCAATGGGGAAGAACACTTCATTCTGTTGTTGGCCAGATCTGCTTAGAGTCTAGCAGGGAAATGAGTTGGAGGCCTTGTGGGTATAAGTTACATAGGTCTGGGTGACTGTGGGTGTTTTCGACCTCTTCCTGCTTTTCCATAGCTGTTCTGATCTCAAAGATTTCCATCCTGAACCTCCAGGCCATAAACAGATCAGGACAGTCTCAAGTAGAGAGAAGGGGGAAATCCCTACTGGTGACATCATGGAAAGAAAGGGAGTTTCTAGAGCCATTAAGCCACCTGTGTTGGACAGGTGCTTTTCCCAGGGATCATTTACTTGTATGAGTTATTCATTGGTTTGGAATTGCTTATACAGGGAAAAAAAAATCACATTTTTAAGAAATGTTAAGGTTGTGCTAAGCCTTAAAAGTTAAGGTTATTATGAAGTACTCAGAGGTACTCCGGGAATTAGAGTAGGCACTCTCAGCCAAGAGTTAGATTCTTCCACTGCCTTCGGACAATTACTGAACTCCKTTCTGCTGATGAAATTCCCCTAAAATGGAAATAAACTGTAAGACTACTGTGTATTCTAGATCCTAAAGATATCATTTATCTTAAGTGCAAAGTAAAATTATTCAAAAATGTGACTTCTCTTGGCAGGAATGTTCCTCTTCTCCCTCTGTGGGAATTAAGGACAGTTGTTAACTTTCATGACTGTCTTTAATTATGATTCAGAGCTGAGCCCTAAACCTCAGTGTTGCCAAGCCCTGAGATGAGAGTGCCAGCCTGGTGCTGTGGAAAGTATTTGGAGGCCACAAATACATTATTTTTTTTAACACTATATAAAAATAAGTAAATTTGTTTTTATGTAATTATGTAAAAAAATAAAGTGTACTTTACACTTGAAACAATTGTATTTGAATATTTGAAAATGAACAGAGAGAGAAGTCCTGGTCAACTTCACTGTGTTTATAAATCACTCTGCTGTTTTATAGGATTCAGGTCTTTGGTTCTCTGCTTCTTCCCTTTCTGCTTGCTTTCTAGTGGGGTCTAGATACTCAGGAGAAGGTTTTCACTCCTGCTGCTTAGTTTTATGCCCAGCATTGATTGCTTCCTCTGACTTCAAAATGAGTTGTGCATTAGCATCACCTTTATGGTAGAATAAGTAAGAGAAAAAAAAAAAGAAAGGGGGAAAAACCCACTATGAATCACTTTTTAGGAAAAGAAGAAAAAAAAGATTTTGACTTAACATAGTAAATTTGAACTAGTCTATCATTTAATTATAGCTATTTGTCGTCTATGAACAGATGATGATCAACTTCCACACAAAAAAAAAGAATATCGAAATGATATTCCTGTAGTTATAGAAAATCAGATGCAGGAAAATGAGATCCATGTGAACAGGCATTCAAGCCTTCAAGTTGGTTATAATCCTAGGATTTTTAAGAATTGAATTTGTTCTTTATGGCTTTGCTGTAAGCACATATACCATTTATTACTGAGATAAGATGGGAAAGGATTTGTGACTACACGGTTGTGGGAGTGTGTTTTTGTGTATTTACCAGCTTCGGAAAATGAACAGATCGATAAGCTGTCACTAACTGATTTAGGTGCATTGTGGGCAGGCATCAAGACTGAAGGAGGATTGTCACAGTCTCAGTCACCTGGACAGACGGGATTCCTCAGCTATGGCACAGGCTTTGGTACCCCGCAACCTGGACAGGCCCCGTACAGCTACCAGATGCAAGGTCTGTATACATCCTGATGCTGCTGCTTCCCTTCACCCCGTAGCTTATGGCTAATGTCTACAGCAGAATCTGAGGTGCCAGGTAGATAGGGGAGGATGATGGCAAGTGGACTCGGCTCAGAGGTTGGACACCCACTTCTAGTTGGCATCTTCATTTACCTGTTCCCTGGGCCCAATATTCATATCATCAAGTGGTTAGACTAAATGATCTTCAAGGTTCTTTTGAAAAGCTCAAAAAAAAAAATTTATGAAGTTTTCTGCCTTCGTCTCTTCTAACAATAAAAACAAAGGAATGAAAAGGTAAAAAAAAAAAAAAAGTCAACCATGTAAGAGGTTGTGGTGTGGTGTATGCTAAAACTCCTGCATTTGATGTTATCTACCAATTTTTCTGAAAGGGCTGTGTTTCTTCATTTTCTAAATGGGGGAAGTGATTAGGGAGGCAGCAATTATAACTCTAGAAACTGTATGTAATATGTGTTGACTTAATCATCTACCRAAGACCAGGAGGTCACATTTATGGCTGCCCAGCAGATCTTCACCAGGAACCAGTTGGTAGGCTCTGTTTTTGAAGCTGTAGAAAAAAAGAAAAAAACATAACTTAAGTGCAAATCAAATGGAATGACCGTGATAGAGCCACATTCTCTAATGTTTCGCAATCTGCTGTTTTCAGTAATAAATACATTGCAAACATCTTTGAATATCAATAGGTTCTTTTCTATAGCATCATTTTAATGGCTACATGATACCGATAGGTATTTAAATAGTCCTCTATTGTTGGACATCTAGAGCAATGCTATGCATCTGATCTCATTTCTTTCTGTTCACTATTTATGTGTGGAATTTCTAGGCAAACCATTTTATATTCTTTTAGGAATTTCTCATATATTTATACAAGAAAGAGCTGTGTATTAGATGCATACATTGGATGATATCTTACATTGAAAATTGTCATCTTGGTACAGGATTTTGCTGTTTTTATATGCATTTTTTTTAAAACAATGGAGATAAAACATTTTTTCTTCTGTGCTGATGTTCATCTTCATCTTTTTATTTCTCAACATTTATGCATCCTTTTCTGAATTTATTTTTTAACTGATAACTTAAAAGTGTACATATTAATAGGGCACCATGTAATGTTTTGACACATATATACATTACATAATATTTAAATCATGTTAAACATATTTATGTCCTCAAACATTTATCATCTAACTTTCAAAATCCTTTATTCTAGATTTTTCAAATGTACACTACATTATTTTTCTCTACATTCACYCTACTGTGCAAGAGCACACCTGTACTACTTCTAACTGTAACTAAGTACCCACTGATCAACCTTTCTCCATCTCTTCCCTAGTCCTACTCTCCTTGGCCTCTGATAGCCATCATTTTACTCCATGAGATCAACCTCTTTAGATATTTACATATGAGAGAGATCATGTGATATTGTCTTTTTCCACCTGTCTTTTTTTTTTACTTAACACATGATCTCCCTTTCCATCCATGATGTTGCAAATGACAGTTTCATTCTTTTCTATGTCTGAATAGTATTCCATCATGTATATATGCCACATTCTCTATAGCTAGTAGACAGATAAGTTGTTTCCATTTCTTGGCTGTTGTAAACAGGGCTGCCATGAACATGGGCGCACAGACGTCTCTTCTATGTACGGATTTCAGTTCCTGTGGGTATATATCCAGGATTGGGATTGCTGGATTGTATGCTGGCTCTATTTTTTAATAGTCTTTGAAAAACCTTCATATTCTTCTTTACAAAGGCTATACTAATTTCCATTGTCACCAACAGTGTGCAAGGGTTCCCTTTGCTCAGTGTCCTCGTCAGTGCATGTAATCTTTAGTCTTTTGATAATACCTATCTGGGGTGAGGTGATACCTCATAGTGGTTTTAATTTGCATTTCCCTAATGATTAGTGATGTTGAACACTTTTTCATGTCACTTTTTATACTGTTTTATACATTTATTTTCAGTTTACCAATTTAAAATGAATTTTTTTTTCATTGCACAGTAAGCTAGAGTTTTATTGGGCAAGATCCATTAAACTTTTCACATTTGGTTTTTCCTTTGGTAGGAGAAGGCCTGCATTACGAATTTTGATATTTTTCAGTGGCTATAAAATAAAACTGTCTTATAACAGATAGCATTTATTGTTAGAAGGATGCTACTTATGTGCCAGATTCTAAAACTTTTAAGCTGCCTTGGAAAAGAACTTTATTTCTATACATGCTGAATATCAATTGAGTGAAGGCTAAAAAGAACAGTGATGGAGAGATTTTGTTAATGAATTTAACAGTCCTGGGCTCTAGTAGTGAAAGGGATCATGAGGCAGACAAGGTCTTTTTGCTCATAGAACTTTCATGCTTGTCAAGAACAAAGATAGTAAGTAAGCAATCAAATAAATTATACCATTGTAGATTCTCCCAGGAGCTAAGGCGGAAACATAGTAGGTCCCTGTTGTCTCCTAGGCATCTAGGCCTCCTGTAGGAGAAATGATCCTAATGTTAAGAATAAGGCAGATGAAGGTGCCCTCCATGAGCAGAGGTACCCAATGGCTGGTCCTGGGCCTGAGCCCATCTGCAGCCTGTGGTTATCAGTTTGCCAGGAACTAAATGCAGAAATTGAGAGTTAGCATTTAAAACTTTCAGTTAGTTTATAGTAATTTTTTTATTTGTTAAATCAAATAATTTTTAAAAATGTATTCTATCTTTTATATTTCATCCTTTTAGTTATGTATTGTACTTCACTCCATTATCAATTCATAAAGGATTGTGGGGTGGGGGGAGAAAACCAATTCTTATGTGAGATAGTTTGATAAGTACATTTCTCTGAAATGCTTGAGACCAGAAGTGTTTTGGATTTCAGATWTTGGGGGAATATTTGCATATGCATAATGAGATATGGGGATGGCACCCAAGTCTAAACTTGAAATTTGTTGTTTCATATACGCCTTCTATGAATAGGCTGAGGGTAACTTTATATAATTGTTTTAGCATACCCGTGTTTTGACTGTGACCCATCATATAAGATTAGATAAGGAATTTTCCATTTGTGTCAGGTTGGCACTCAAAAAGGTATTTTGGACCTTTTTGGATTTCAGATTTTCGGATTAGGGATGCTCAACCTGTATTGTACTTAAGAGTTACTTTTTAATCTAACTCATCTCCCAGATTAAAGGCTTATACAGCCAAGATGGTTCATTCAAGAACTGACCAGCTATCAGAATATATAGTACAGTGCTAGAATAGAGTGGATATGAAAGAGAGAAAAATAAGCTTAATTTGGAAGGGAAAAAAATCTGGTTTTGAAAAGAAATAAGGACATGTGTAGCAAATGAGGCATTGCTTTTATACTTACAGGTTTTGTTGCATCTGGGCTTATTAAATAGTGCATTAAAACATTTTGGGGTTTTTTTTGTGTGTGTGAATCCTCTATTTGAATGACCTTTCCAGTGGGATTTTAAAACTCATTTTTCATAACTGAGGTATTATTTTATATGGATATTTCTAAGATGGTTTATTCATTCAATTTGGGATTACTGGATATAATGACTTCTGCATATCAAGCCAGAGGATAATATGCTATTCAGCTTGAAACTTATCTTGCCTATATGATGATAGATAATTGTATGCAGTATGCTGCAGAATGCCTGTGGTCAGATTTGGGTATGCAATGAAATTCTAATTAATATGTACTTTTAAATGAATTGTGAAAAAAATACTTTGACATTATTCATTGATTTTTGTGTGTTTCATTCTGGGAGTCTAAGCCTTGGAGCATCTTTTAAATACATGTTTTTTCAATACAGAAATTCCTATAAGGTCTAAAATTATTTTCAAATGTCCTCCAGTTCCATTAAGCCTAAATGAATAACAGTGATTTGTGTGCATACCGCTAGTATCCTGGATGACAGCATATATATTTCAGTGATCTGGGGGGTATTTTTGTTTAACTTTTTCTCCAGGAAGGTCTTTAAAATATAAGGTATGATGATGAGTTCCTTGGAGATTTAGCTGCTAAGATTTAATAGTAAAAGAATTTTATAATAAAAAGAGAAACACTCTAGTAGCGCGGGTGACTCAAGCTGCAGTGTGATGTGTAAGCCTCCCTGAGTGACATGCTAATTGATTTAAAGCAAGTGTGTGATGATGACCTCTTTGCTATCAGACTTAAAGGGACTGGACTGAAGACTCAGAAGCCTTGTGCCCTGGCTTCCAGTAGAGCTCTGCAGCTTGACTGCAGGTCAGGGGCTCTGCCTTTGCCCTCTGTGGCTCTCCAGCCCGAGACCTGACTTCTTCACCTCTCCATTTCTTATCTCACCTAGAGGGATGATACCTACTGCCACTGTTCAGTGTTTGGCTGAATTGATATTTATCTTTGTAAATCAATCTGACCAACACATGGTGCATAGTAAGAACTCAGATAGTTGTTTTCATTCTTACTTCTTTCATTGTGGTGATGACATAGTTACTATTATTAAATATTATAGTCCAACTTTCTGGGATAACTTCAGATTAGGAAGCATCACCTCCTTCCCATTTGCCAACGAATGGGGATGTGTGTGTGTGTGTGTGTGTGTGTGTGTGTGTGTGTGTGTGTATTTACCTACATGTATGTGATATATTATAATTTTAAACTATAGAGTAAAAATAAAAAAATATATATTTAAAAAAAAATTACCAATAAAGAGACCTTAAAGAACCCCATAACAAAATAAGCGCAGGGGGAAAAGAAAGCAAAACAAAAGAATAAAGAGCTGGATCTAACTAAAAGTCATTTTCTGCCATGGAAAGAAAATTGCAGTCAACAAAGATCAGGCTTTTTGTACACGATACAAAAAAAGAAGAAAAAAAAGAAGGGTCGAAATAAGAGGAAGCAGCCAAGGGCACAAAGAAGAAAATCAAAAGAGAAGGCTGCACTGGCAAGAGTGGTGATGGGGTGTTGATGGGTGGGAACGGTGGGGACACAGAGGAGCCATTGACAGA